CCTTTTAAGCAAGTTGGCTAGACACAGTCACAAAGGTTATAGATGCTTCTAGAGATCAGTGATATGCCACCTCTCACCCCATCTCCAGGCTTGGTTTGGAAATGACCCCCTAGGAGTCTAGGGGTCCTCCTAGGGTCTGAATAGGAACCTTCTAAATTAACGTGGAAGTGGGGCTGCTAGGTGGCACGGTGGATAGAGCACCCACCCTGACATCAGGAGGACCTGAGTTCAAATCCAGCCTTGGACCAAATACTTGACACTTACTAGCTGTGTGACCCTGGGCAAGTCACTTAACCCCAATAGCCTAAAAAAATTAATTAATTAATTAACTTACAAATGAAGGAAGGCGGAAAGGCTGCCATGCCCCAACCTTCCTTCCTGAAATCTACAGGTGCTATTTACATTTAAAAAGCAGGGTGCTATAGGACAGAGAGCCTCAGACAGGGAGCCAGGTGACCTGGGTTTGAGTGGGCAAGTGAGCTTCAGTACCATCTTATAGGAAAATGGAAATGAAAATTGGATAGCTAGGTGGTGCAGTGGATAGAGTGCTGGACCTGGAGTCAGGAAGACCTGAGTTCAAATTCGACCTTTGTAGCTATGTGACTATGTGCAAGTCACTTAACCTCTAACTCAGTTTCCTCATTTGTAAAACGGGGATAATAACAGCACCTACCTCCCAGGGCAGCGAGGGGGCGCAGTAGATAGAGTTCTGGGCCTGAAGTCTAAGAGACTGAGTTCAAAATCTGACCTCAGACATTTACTAGCTGTGTGACCCTGAGCAAGTCACTTAACCCTCTGTGGGCCTCAGTTTCCTCATCTATAAAATGAGCTGGAGAGGGAAATGGCAAACCACTCCAGTATCTTTGCCAAGAAAACCCCAAATAGGGTCACGAAGAGTTGAATGTGACTGAATAGACAACTGAAAAACAACAACAGGGTTGTTCTGGGGATCAAGTAAAGTGTTCTGTAAACCTCAAAGAGCTATATGAATGATAGCTATTATAATAATGATATTATTATTATTACTTCTGCCATCCATCTCACAAGGTTAGTAAGATTAGAATTCATGATGTAGAATTCTCTTATTCTAGAACTACAGCTTTATTCAAATGCCTGTTATTAGGACCAATTTCCCTTAAAAAAATATTTGCATCCCACAGCTTGCAATATTTAAACGATTTCCTAAATCTTAGAACCTATAATGGAAGAGTAAAAATTCAGGACCCCCTCCCCCCACCAAAGTGAGGCTTTACTCATGTGAGGAAAGTGCCTTGTCAACCTTAAAATACTATAGAAATGGGAAATATTATTATTGAGTACTTATCATCATCTCTGTCTGGTCTGGCTAAAGAAATATGCTCCCCCAAGGAAAGGCTAGGGCCAGAGAAAAGTGGGTGCTGTGCCTGTTACTAGAGCTGGCTGGCCCCAAAGAAGACTTGATAAAATGTACCTCCCTCCCTTATTCAAAGAGGTGAGACGCTATGAAGGTGGAACATTGAATATGCTGTCAGATGCAGGTACCTGGAGCATAGTGGCCTTAGATAATGCCTGCTGATTGACTAATGCGTTGTATTAATTAGTTTTGCTCAACTGTTTCTCTGTCTGTGTCTGTCTGTCTGTCTCTGTCTCTCTCTTTTCATCCTTTGTGACAAAGGATTCGGGGGGGGGGTATTCAAAAATTAAGGTAAGATATGAAAGCGAGGGAGTAATAAAACTTTTAAAGTATGACTATTATAGCCAGAAGAGAATTTAAGGATTATCTAGATTGAAGGTTCTTAACATAGGGGTCCTTAGACTGATGTCAGGGATTCTGGGAATTTGGATTGGAAAAAAAATCACATCTTTATTTCAACATAATTGGTTTCCTTTGTAATCCTATGGATAGGTGTTCCAAAAGTCTTAACACTGTTAAAGCTTACTGCTGCACTGAGGCCTTGGGGATGCCCTGTACTTTATTTTATGCATTAAAAAATCATCCTGAGCACATTCACCAAACTCCCAAAGGGGTCCATGACACTAACAAGGTTAAGAACCCTTGAATTCTTGACCAACTGCTTTATCTTAGATATGCCTTCACAGAGCGCCAGAAAGGGCTTGCTCAAAGCTACATATTGAGTTGATGGCCGATTCAGGGATAGAACCTAAGTCTCCTGATACATAATCCCCAGTTATTCCTACACCATGCTTGCCAGGGGTTTACTGTTGGGGTATAGAGCCTGGGTGCAGAACTGTTTGTTGGGATGCTCTACCAAAAGGTAGGTGGGGGTAAGGGAAACCATGGGCACTAGCCTAGAATTGGTATCCAGGAAGTATTTACTGAATTAAGGAACGGTACAGAGAATGGAAACAAAAGAAGGTCCTCAGCCAACGGCAAGGTGTGGAGGTAATTTGGATCTTTTCTAGGGGAGAGAGGAGTATCTGTGGCCAAAGCCCCCAGGCTCTGGGGCCTAGGGAGAATTTATTTTACCCCCTCTGAGCCTAGCTCTTGGCCCCCACCCCTAGTGACTCAAATCGCTACATAGCAACAGAGTCCTGGGACCTGAAGACTTCTCACCTTGCCCTGGACTCCAGGTCCCCAGAGGCCTTCTGCAGCCAAGGTTTTATGGAAGATAAAGATAGGATTTGGAGGAAGGAAGGCAGAACAGGCAGAATATTGAGAGGTGAGGTTGGGGGCCAGGATGTTAGGATTTGAGGGGACAGATATCACAGGCAGCATTTAATAGGCAGGATATTAGGACAAATATGACAAACAGAATTGAGGTGGGGCAAAATTTTGAGGGGCCTGGGATGTGAGAGGAAGGAAGAAGGCCAAGTGTTAGAGGCAAAGGGTTGGGATTGGGGACCAAGGAACAAAGATGTTCAAAGATAGGGTTTTGGGGGAAGAATGCTAGGATTTTTGAGAGAAAAGGGAACAGCCATTAGGAAACATAGTATCAGGGTTTCGAGGAGGAGAGAAAATTTGGAAGACAAGGTTTTGGGACTTTGCAGGTTGAGCAGGGTTGAGAGGGGAGTATGATAGGGTTGATGGGAGATTGGCATACAGAGAGTACCTAGAAGACAGTATGACCACGGATTTGGGGGGCTGTAAGGCAATTTGGTTTTACTATCTCCAGGACCTGAGATAATCCTGGCTCAGATGTAAAGAGGAGGGGGTAAGTATGTCTGCCCTTTTAGGCCTGGCTGAAATTTTTATTTTTAGCTTAAGCAAGTGTGAGGCGGGCAAAGGGAGAGTAATTGGGCCCAGTGCCCTCTTTGCCTGGCACAGCGTGAGTCTAGGGGAGCCAATAGCTTTGGCTTTAACCATGTGAAGCCTGGAAATCCTTCCAGGGTCCTCAGTGGAAGGGGAGGGAAAGAGGCTAGTAAGGGTGTGTGTGGTGCAATTCCTTCTTACTTTTTGCTTAAAGAAAGAAAGGCTAGATGCCTTTCTCAGCTTCATTGAGATGGGCATTTTTCCATCTGTCTGCAAAGCGCACTGCCTCCTGGTGCTGTTTTGGTTTGATTGGGTGTGTACATGCACGCACACAAACACACACAAACACACAACACATATAGAGACACAAACACAATCTCACACTGACTTACACACTGATAAAAAGATACACACTTACGAACATAGCTCATACATACAGGCATATATACACAGGGACAATATACATACTCGTCGTTGTAGGGGTTTCTCCTATCTGATATGCTGTCAGATTGGTCACAGAGGGACAAGGGCTCTGTGGGGTCAAGGTCTTGGGCATTATTCAAAGGGCGGCTCCCATCTCTCTGTCCACAGATGGGGATATCTATAAGCGAGTATAGGCCAGATGGTACATATACCTATACTTTCACCTATACACTCGTGGATATACATACAGCAACATACATAAATACACACAGGTACATGTGTATGACACATAGATAACGTGTGTGATACACATATAAACACGAATAGACATATTCACAGATTCAAATGCTTTCAGAGACTCGGGCACTCAGGTAGACACAGCTTTACAAATACACAAATATTCAGACTCACAAACATAGACACAAATAGACACGTTCACATACGCATATAAGCAGCCATCTGACCTTTGCCCTGGTCAGTTCTTGCCAAAATCTTCCCTCTCTTCTTAGGTGAGGTGAGAGCAGTCATCAAAAATTGATCTTACGATCAAAATGACTTGGAAGGCCAATGACTACAATGCTAAAATCCCTTTCTTGATCTTTCCCTTCTTCCCACCTCATTCCTCTCTCCTCCTTCCTCCCCCCAAACTCTCCAGACATTTCCCCCCTCCCCTTCCAGGATCCCACAAGGGCCTCCAAGAATAGGACTGGAGGGTCTTGATGGGGGAGGTGAGAGAGGAGGTGGCAGGCCATTGACCTCCAAATTCCTGGGCCCAGCTTCTGCCCTATCCTTCTGCACCCTTCCCAACCTCTACCACCAAGGAGGCAGATTGATTGATCCATCAGCCTCTTCCTTCCATTACCCCTTTTCTGCCTCATCCCAACCCCATCTAGCCTAGCCTGGCCCTATTATAGATACCCCCACCTCTGGTCAGAGAGCTGGAACCATCCTCTGAGTGCCACCCAAGACCTTGACCCCAGAGAGCCCTTGTCCCTCTGTGACCAACTTGAAAGCAGACCCCTGCAGATCCAGTCCTGAACCCCCAAACCCAGATCACATCCTTATGGGGGACCAAGAGCCAGCCTGCTCTCCTTGACTGCCCAGTCTAACCCAGATCCTGTGCCCTGCATCCTTCATCCTTTGCCCTGGCTCCCTCATCCTCTGGCCTTAACTGTGCTCCAAACAAGCTCCCAAGCAGCCCAGCAGCCTGCCCCAAAGCTTTTTTCTCCTCTGGCTTAAGAGTCATAGGCTGTCCTCCTTCCTCTAGCCTAGGTGGCCTGGAGCCAGCCACCACCAAGGGAAACAAGCCTTGTTGAGAAGGCAGTCCGGGGACCAGGAAAAGAGGGAGATCCCAGGTCCAATCCAATCTGCACCCCCAAGTCCCTACCTGGAAAGCGAGCTGCTACGAGCGCAGACCCTGGCCCTTGTCAGCCGGGCGTTCCCCTGAGCCTGGCAGATTCTCCTCGCTGCTTGCAGATGCGACTCGGCTTTGCTCCGCTCGGCTCTGCTCCCAAAGGCGATCTCGAGCGAGCTGCGGACGGTTCCGCAGTCCCAGCTGGAGAGAAGAGCAGAAAGCCGGCGCACTCGCGCGTACAATGGGGACACCCCCCAGCTCACCCGCTGGATCCTGGGCTGCCCCGGGGGGAGGAGGTGGGGCAGGCTGAAGGAGTGTGAGAGGAAGACCCAGACAGGTTGAGTTAGAGCTAGAACGGGGGCGAGACGAGCCAGCCAGACGGAGCGAGCCCCTGGCCCTGCGTCCTGCGTCCTGCGTCCTAAATCGATCCCTCCTAGTGCCCTCTGTGCTTAATAACAGGTTCTGCAGAAACAGGAGCGTATTAGGCAGTAGCGACTGTTGTCTCATTAGCTCCTGGGTAATTTCCATTGGTAGCTGACGCTGGGTGACAGGGGATGTTTGGGTACCACACTGCAGGCTTCCCCTGAGAGCAAGGCTTTAATTGTATCCCTGAGGGGTAGAGACCCAGAACAGAGCCCAACCACACACACACACATTCAGCACACATAGACACAACACATAAGTACACACAACAAAGATGCAGAGTCACAATACACACCCACACACACACTTGATACACAAGCACACACATTTAACACAGCACAGCCATACAATGCAGACCCTTCCAGCACAAGCAAAAGCACATAAAATGCATATGCACAGTTCCACAAGAGACAGACTCACATAGAACACAGAATACTCCCATGTCACACAAACCCAGTAGAGGTGTGCTCAGGCAACACAGATACAAAATACATAACAGCTCTAGACTTAAGTATTATCCCCATTTTAGAGGTGAAGAAAGCAGAAGCCTAAGTTAGGGTTAAGGGTCCCACCTGGGGTCCTCTCCTAAGTCAGTATATGAGCATGGCAGAATGGCTAGAGTGTGGACCTGGAGGCAGGGAGGCCTGGTTCCAAAGTCTCCTTAAGGTACTTCCTTACCCTGGACAAATCACCACCTATCTGAGTCACAATTTTCTCATCTAGAAAATGGGGATGATAAAAATAGCACCTACTTCACAGGGTTATTGTAAGGATAAAATAAAATAATGTATGTCAAACACCTTAAAGTGTAGAGACATGCCTGTGCACAAAACATATGTGAACACATATGCACAAATTCCATATAGACATGCAAGCACACACTCTCAAAATCCCTCAGTGACTTCTCAGGTGACTCAGAAGCACCCTGAAGGATATTTGCTCAGACTCTAGCTGCTCATTTTCTTTCCCTTTCCTTTGAGGTCAGTGTGTGACTGACCAGAGGAGGAGGTCTCAACAGTGGGCATTGAAACCCCTGAGAAGAAAGAGGTATATAAATAACACCTCCCAAAAGGGGCAATTCTGTGGCTTCATGAAACAGGGACAAAGACTGTATCTTACTCTCATTCACCTTGCTCCTGCTTGTCATAAAAAGATCCAAGAAACACAGTAGGACCCTGCCTGACTCACCAGATGAAGACCTTGAATGCCCACACCAGCATCCATGTGTTTGAGCGCTAAGGCACATCAGGGGAGGGTGAGGTTAAAGGCCCTTCATGAGCACCCTGGTGTGGATGTGGGGAGGTTCTGCCCTGGGACAGCTATGACAGAGAGAAAGAGAGCAAAGACAGAGACAGAGAGAGAGCCAGAGCCAGAGAAGTAGTTCAGAAAAACTAACCCATACATTAATAGAGTCTGTATATGCAGGATATGCAAGGTTCCCCACCCATAGTCCTTCACCTTTTCAGAGAAGGGAGAGATGTGTTTTCTCACTTCCTCTTTAGAACCAACTTTCATTCAATTTCAGGCTGTGGATGACTTTTTTCTTTCAGTGACTCCATTGCTGAAGTCATTGTCTATGTTGTTTTTCTGGTTCTATTTATTTCACTCTTCCAGGCTTCTCTCAATCCTTCACATTCATCATTTCTTACAGTGTAGTAAAACCCCCTTCCATTCCTATCCCTCGGTTTGTTCGACCATTTCGTAATTGATGGATATCTTTTTTGTTTCCAGTTCTTCGCTACCACAAAAAGGGTTACTAGGAATGTTGTGGTGCATGGAAGATCCCTCTGCCCTTTATTTCTTTGGGATATAGATCTACCAGTGGGATCTCAGGGTCAAAGGACAAGGACATTTTTGTCCGTTTAGCTCTTGAAATGCTCTCATTGTACTTTCCTTTCCAATCAGCTAAAATCTGTCTTTCTGCCACTTCCTCCTAGAGCTCTTAGTTCTGTGCCCTCCCTTTTAAATCCTTGAAAATAACCTTCCTTTCCCCCTTAAATCTTCTCTTCCCCAGTCTGAATATCCTTAGTTCCTTCAGCCAATCCTCATGTAGCATGGCTTTTTGGAGCTAGAGAGGCCAGGGTTCAAATTCTGATTAAGATACTTCCTAACTGTATGACCCTGGGTCATTTATTTAACCTCTCTCAGCCTCACTCTCTTCACCTATGAAATATGGATGATAATAATATTAACTCTGCCATGGGGTGTTCTCTTCATCTCCCCATCCTGGTGATCCAATCATCTTCCCACCCAGTCTACTCTGTCATGGTTAATAGGCTTGCTTCTTGGTGTGAATATATTCCCTGCTAAGGGCTGGGATTCAGGAGATTTAGGTTGTAGCCCTGGCTCCATCACTAACTCGATTTGTGAGGCTTAGGTTAGTGAACTACTTCCTTTCTCTGGGTCTTATTTTTGGTATCTGTAATATGAGCTTCTACCAACCTCGAGGGCAGACGTGAGAACGAGTAAAACAGAAGTATCTCACACACACACACACACACACACACACACACACACACACATCCTTATGATTTTGCTGTTAAGTTGGACTGAGCAGGAGTTAGTATATGAGGCACCCTCTCTGGACAGGTTCTCTTCCCATAGCCCATCTCTGTATCCCCGAGTGATTTAGGAAAGTCTTTCATTGGCTAGTTGGCTAATCTCTTCCATTGGATCTCATCTTTGCCCAAGAAGATCTTATTTCAAAAAGGACATTAATCTCTTGAGCTTCACCCTTTACACTAGTATAGAGGATTTCAACTTACTAAGTTGAACTCTCTAGCTACAAGACAGTTGCTTTGACACCTCCCCCCACCCCCAGCACACATTCTTCACTGACCAGGGAATTTACCAGGGCACATTTCTCGCTGCTTTTTCACAAGTTTTGGGTTGTTTTGGGAAAACTGGATGAACTCTGACTTCTTTCCATCTTGGAGGTAAGGGACCAAACTAGATAATTTGTAAAGGTTATGATGACCTAATGACTTCTTGGATGTCTTTTAGCTCTGTCTATAATCCTATGATCTCCAGCCCTGCAGACAGCCTGTGACTGATCTTTAAGTGTTTGTTTCTACAACTGTGTTAATAAGGGAGGTGACTGAACCCAGTTATCCCCATTCTACAGCTGAAGAAGTTGAGGCGCATATAAGGAATACTACTTGCTTAAAACCACTGGAGTCAGCATCAATCTCTACTTATTCTGACTCATTGGAACTTTTCCAAAGGTGGGCAACACACTGACTATCAGAATACCACCTATCACATACCAAGAAACTAGCTACAATCTGAGAGCCTCAGCTCTTAGTATGAAGGTGATACTCTTGGCCCATCGGCAATGAGACAAGCCCTATAAACTGGGTTCCCTAGAAACAGGGACAGGCTACACTGAGTCATCCATACTGGCTCCATTTCCCAACACTGTTCTTTTGCAAAGACTACTCTCCATGGCTGGAATGCACTCCCTCCACCTCTTGGAACCCCTAGATTTCTTCAGAGTTCAGATCAAGTGCCATCTTCTTCTGAAAGAGGCCTTTCCTGATCCCCTTACTTAGTCTTACATGTATTTATGAGTTGACCAGGGAGTTAGACCTGGGCTGAGTTAAGGGTCAGATGGTGAACAGAGTTAGAGGTTGTCTGAGGCCTAGAAAAGGGGTCATTTTGAGGCTAGGAACCATTCTGTAGCTAGGATTTGGAGTTGACTTGGGGCCATGATAAGGAGTTAGTACAGGACCTGAATTTCAAGGCAATCTAGGGTGAGGAATAGGGTTTAATTTGAGTCCAGGCTTAGGGATCAATCAGTTTAGGGCCTCAATTCGAGCTAAGTCTAGGTGCAGGCTTAAGAAGTCAATCTGATGTTAGAATCAGGACTTACTCTGTGGCCAGCTCATACCCTTTTTGCTAGAGGAGTGTGTAAATACCAGGAGGGTAAGAACTACTCTATATAAATGGTTTTTGAGTGAATAAAAGAATGCCTGCTGTCATATAGAAGAGGGATTAGAATTGTTCTGTTTGGCCCCAGAGGACAGCACCAGAAGCAATGGGTGGAAGGTGTAAAGAATTCAGTTTAGGGGGCAGCTAGGTGATGCAGTGGATAGAGCCCTGGCCCTAGAATTAGGAGGACCTGTGTTCAAATCCAGCTTCAGACACTAGCTGTGTGACCCTGGACAAGTCACTTTATCCCAAAAGCCTAAAAAAAAAAGAAGGCTCAGATTCTTTCTTACAATCTAGCCAATAGCTCACTAATGTTCTGATTAGTGAGAGTCTGTCCAATATGATAGATGTTCTAATAAACCTTGTCTTTGGCTGAAAAAAAAAAAGAATTCAATTTAGGCTTGACCTCAGGGAAGACTTCCTAAGCATTAAAACTGTCCAAAAGAAGAAAGGGATGTCTCAGGAGAGATAATGCGATACCTCTCCTTGGCCATCTTCAAGTAGAGACTAGATGATCACTAGTTAAATTATGTTTTGCTGTGTGACCCTGGGCAAGTCACTTAACCCCAATTGCCTCACCAAAAAAAAAAAAAAAAAAAAAAGAAAGTATGTTTTGATTGGGATTACTTCTTGTATGGATTAGACGAGAACGGATGATGAGGTCCCTTCTAACTCTGACTCCATGCACATTGAATTGTGTGCCATTAATGTGCTCGGGGAGAATTTGTGGCTGTGACGGTGTTTTGGGGAGTTTTGGAGCATGTGTGACTTTTGTACAACCTTGTAAGTATGACTGCAAGTGCTTGGAACAGAGACTGAGTGGCCTCTAGCTCGTCAGGTTTTTTCACATTCTTAACACAAGAGACTCTGTGTCCTTGATCTCAATCATTCCCAGCCACAGTGATCCTGATGTCAGAGGAGGATAAAATCTGTGCACTAGTAAGAGTTTATCTTCTAGCTATAGGTCCTCCATTTCCTCGGGGACCATTTGAGCCATATTGCTATGAGGTTATTCCTGGGGGTGGGGTGCCTTGATAGATGAGTTAAGTCTTCACCTTGCCTGAAGATTGAGCC